TTTGGTGAGGGGGTCCGGCAGATCCGGAACGCCGAACCCCCTCACCAAACACGGGGGTCCGGCGTTCCGGATCCGCCGGACCCCCTCACCAAACACGGGGGTCCGGCGTTCCGCATCCACCGGACCCCCTCACCAAACACCGGGTTCCGGCGGATCCGGAACGGTGGACCCCCTCACCAAACACGAGGGTCCGGTGTTCGGGATCCACCAGAGCCCCTTCACCAAACACCCCCCCTGCTCGACGGGGGGGGAGGGGAGGGCGTCCTGTGTTCGAGATCCACCATATTATCTAATCAGCATGTATCCTACTAGATCCAAGCATCAAATAGGTTCCACTCCCTTATACCCTCGCTAAGCTCTCTTCACATAGATCGTTGCACATAACTCTCCTATTCATGCCACTAAACTTTCCTAAGCCACGTCATCACTTGCTCAACTTTACACATATGCATGGACTCGATGCTCCCCCATACACTTCCATGTCCTCGACTGAAGCCCTTCTACACTTGGTCCAGTAGCTCGCCGAAATGAGGCCTCGCATGCACACACAGTAAAGCGAATAAGGAGAAGAATAAACCAGTTAACATCGAACAACCCATACGGTCAAAGTTAATAGTAAAATAACAAATTAACAAGACAATCGTTAGATGTTCCTTGTAGTCCTGATTCTTGCCATTTTACCCAACCCGGGTAGGCTGGAATTATCATCAAGATGTTAAGTTGGGGATTGTGGCAATTTCCTAAAACGCGTTTTTTATGTCAATCAGCCAGCAGTTGACTCATCTGAGGGTAAACATAATGCAGAGCACAAACACCTGATTCAATTAGCTTTCGGGGAACAAGGGTAAGTCATTCATCAAACAGTAGTGAGGATTATATCTCCGCTAGCTTTCTTGCGAATAAGGTTATTACCTGCGCCGACGCCTCATCCGTTTCCTCGGCAAGTACTGTATCCTGTACTGACAGCATCTCGTCCAAGGTCATAGGCCCATCCATGACGGTCGTCTCCGGTAACTCTGAAACTCTATCTCTCTGTAAAAGATCCGGTTGCGTCGTATCGACGTTCCCGTGACCTTTCGTTGATCCCGACTCTCGGAAACTACGAAAGTATCACTTCCACTTTGAGGTGAAAAACCGAGACGCGGAGCGTAGACGTTCCTCTGTTCTTCTCCTGATAACAGAAATGATTAAAGAGGGTCTTCCTACTGTTCCTCCATTTATGTACTCAACTTTTTTTGTCGTTTGTTCATTTTCGCTCCTACTGCTTTCCTTTCTTCCGGTCCTTCCAGACCTTCTCTTTTTTCCGACTTACCTGATTCCTTTGGAAGCAATCCCTTAATCTGATTAAACCCTGTCTGATTTTATCCTTCACCCCGAAAGACCTATTTTTTCAAGTGCGCCCTACTGGGGTTACGAGGGGCTATCCCATTGTGATGGGTCTACTGTATTTTCTTTTTTCTTTTTTTTTTCCGTGGGGTCGACAAATCCCTCTTTTTCCAACCAAGCATTGCCTCACTTTCAAAAAAAGTCGGTGGGCCCAGTCAACTGATTGTATGTGTGTGTGTGTGCGTGTGTGTGTGTGTGTGACCCACCCCGTACCGACTGGTGATGGCATGGACAGAAAGGGGTTGGTATACCAGCCCCTTTCTGGGCATGGTATCGACCAGTCACCTTTTGTCCACCCCCATCCTGTGGGGTAGGAAGAAGTCCACACACACAGACATCACGTACGCACACGTCATGCATCAGCCATACGTCCATTAGTCCTAAGCATAGGGGATGCAAACTAAGGGCATGGATCAAACCTGCGTACTCGCCATTAACAGTTTCGTTGTGTCGTGTGGACTGCATCTAAAGTCCTGGAAGTCCTGCGGATTGTCAAGGACCCTATAAACAACCTTCAAACATCTGTCCTTGAGAAACCCATTACTCACCATGATCCTCACATTCTTTATGAGGTCAGCTGCCGCCGCTTTGTGGTCTGAGGTCAGTAGCATAATCAGTGCGGTTTGTCCAATCAATATGTTAATTGATTGCGCAATCGGCCTGTTGGATTGAAATTTAATAAATCGAACAGGTTCGAAATCCAATGGAGTTGTATTATCATGCCTGGTGGTGATAAACTCCCCTGTGTGTTCAGAGACGACCTTGACATCCATATGTAAGAACTGTGCTAACTTCCCAACTAACAATTCATCTGGTCCCTCACTGAACTCTTTGGTCTGATTCTTTATCTGAATTATGTCTAGAGGGTAAATCCAGAATGGATTATCCGGTGTCATAGGTTGACTCGGATCCAGAAACTTTTGAATGAATGAGTTATTCAACACATTCATGTCGTCAATATATCTAAACGTGTCTTTAAACAAGGCAGCAAAATGCTTATGCCGAGTGGTCATTAACCTCCTAATAAAGTTATATTCATACTTTAAAAAATAAATGTTACATCATATTGGTGAACAAGGGAGTCCCATTGGAATACCTTTCACCTGCCTCCATATCTTCCCACTGAAGACCATATAGCATCTGCTTGTGATCCACTTACAGAGATTGATAATGTCTAATCATGACATATACTACACATTCTTCGACTGCGTGCTGGAACATTTAGTTGGACTGCAGACAACTGTTCCATTTTTCTTCATCCTGCATCTCACAGAAGATATGTTCTCATGGGTCTATAGATAGGAGAAGGCAAGCTTAGTGTACATCGTAATTGCATCAATCAGACCGTCGCTCGATTCATCTGTTGGGATATTCTCAAAGCACTTCGATATATCTGTTGAGAAGACAGAGTATACCGCATTCAGTAGGTTATAGCAGTAGTCCTGTACGCAGTCAATTACCCACCACACCGACGTATCCACACCATGAAATGATTTGACCATATTGTTGTACTCCCTGCAGTGGCTCATGACAGGTGTCTCAAGTGCTTTCAGAACAGAGTGACAGAGTAGACTAAGTGCAGATTTGGTCAGAAAACAATCAGTAGCGTTAGACAGCCATCTAAACGCTGCTTTGTGTTGCTTATATATGGTCATGATATACGGGATGCCCAGACTTTCCCATCCAAGGTGTGGACAACACTCGCTCAGAGAATTCTTGGCTTCTGTTAACAACTCTTAAGTTGAGAACTGACAAAACGAGAAATCATGACTGCTCAGTCGTTCCAATGCAAGCGCGCGGACGAGGTGCTTACGTACAAAAAACGGGGTTTTCGCGGCCTTGTCAGTTCCTGCAATATATAGGTATTTCGATAGGAAATCGAATTCTGATGCAATTTAAAATTTGTTCATGGTAGGACACTTCTCACTATGACTGCCTTTAATGCTAACATTCTCTCCTCCCAGGGCTTTTACTACTCTCAACCTTACCTCTCCCGTCATGTGTTTGATCAGAGGAGGTGGTATAAATGCCTCCGTCAAGATGAAATCAATTGATTTCTGCCAAGCCTGCATAACCTCCCTAACCATCCTATCCGGGAAGGTAGGTTGTGGGGGGATATGGTTCAGACCCATCGATAACAATTTTGCCACCTCTATCGTGGACGCTACAGATGTGTCCATCGTAAGTACGTGCAAAGAAGAGACCTGCGTGGGTTGGCTAAAGAGACGTGTGTTCTCATTAAGGATTTTCTCAAACCTTTTCGAAGTACAGAGACATCCCTCAAGAGTGCTCATAGAGTCATACCACTGTTCGAGGTCAAACCACTTGAAGACCTTGGCCGGCTGGTATACTACTGACGATAAGGGTTTGTGATAGATCCATCCAAACGCTATCTGCGCAAATACAGACATAACTGATGCACTCATATACAACATCAAGACATCGCCAAACACCTGCCTAGCATTTATCCTTTCCATCATTCATCCAACATAGTGAATATGAATGAATTTCTTGCTCTTATCCGATTGATCGTCGTTCTTCTGCCAACGCAACCTACCAAACGCTCCTCGCAGAACTCTGCCCTTTTGTACCTGCACAACCAATCAACAGGACCAAACTTATAAGTCCTATCCTCTGAAGACAGACCTAGCGACACCTCGACCAGCACGGAGGCCAGGTGGGAGACCAACACGCTGTCCAGCTACTGTCCTGATCGTTGACCGAGGACGTGAGATCTTTCTCCGGCTGATCGGTTGCGGGAGTGCTCTGTGGTGAAGACTCCATAAATGCGTCCAACGACGTGTGCGCATCCTCTTGTAAACGCTTGGATGACGATGCTGTCACATCAGGTCTCTGCCTTTTTCCTGTGGTTTTCTTCAAATACTTGTTGGGCAGCAACAACTTGGCCACCTCCTTGAACATTTTGTTCTCCGCTCCCTGTACTTCGTTCAAAACAGTCTCTGCAGTCAACGTAGGATCCGTCATTACTTTTTTCACCAGCACCATCATCGCCTCCCTCATGTAATTGAAGATGATTGACCAAAGAACCAAAGGTCTCCAACTGCCCTCGAGGAGCCCAAGCATCAGCCAGACCTTCGCTTTGAGTGATGGGGCATCGGGGAACAGAATGTCCAGATCCCTAAAGATGAACCATAACAGGTGATCAAACCACGCTGGTCCTTTGCCGCAGTCGTCTCTTCCGAAAGTGACGCATCTGCACTTGACATACGGTTTTCCCATATTCCAGATCCGCTTCAGCTCTGGCATCGGGGCGGGGTTCTGTGGTCGCATCGGACCCTTGATCGAAACTGAAGGATCCGCTGAAGAACACTTAGTGCCATCCATGACACTCATCCGTGGGAGGCTAACACCATCTCCACTAAACGGGAACTTGACCTTTGGCGGTACAGTCACCATGTCCATCGCTCGATCGAAGCAGCTCTTGGTTTCATCTTGTCCAACTGTGGCCATTAGAGTGTACCCCCTTACATCAAAGGGGGCCACGTAGTTGTACGTGTCCAGGTTCCAGATCCTGCTGCCGAACGCACAACTCATAGACTCCACCCATCGATTGGATGCAAGTGGGAGGAAGCCATTCCTCGCACCTGATCCATACGCAGATACCCTCTTCCGTTCTCTGCCCGCTGTGACCTTAGCTTTCGACCATTCCGCCTTCTTCTTCTCCATATAACATTTTTCCTTCTCAGTGAGTTCATCCTCCTCATCTTCCATCGCCTCCCCCCACGGTCGCAGGTGCTTGTACTGTCCTCTGTGCCTTGTGGTACGCGGACTCAGCTCCCCATTACTGCAGAAACACCGTTTCTCCCTTCACCATGAGGCGCTCAGCATTCTTCCCCTCAACTTCATCTTCCAACTTCCACTGGGAAGTCCTTTCCGACATCGCATTAACTAGGTCAACAAACTTCAGTCTGATGAACTTTTATGTGAAGATCAGCTCCGCCCAATCGTTGAAGCGCATGAACATTACTAGAGGAAGTGCTTGAAGTGGTGGGGACTCGGATCTCCTACGAACAATGGCTATCACCTGCTTCTGTGCTATCGCCATGAGAGCCTGTGTCTGTCTCGATGGTGGCGGGAACTGGGTTAGCCATGAATTGTCACCTTGGATAAGCTCCCGAAGCCACATGAACGCATAGTCTGGCCGATCCTGTTTTTCATTCCAAAACGCATTTTGCAACTGAGCAGAAACAACACAAGATATATACGCTTTTCGATGTGATATCATTATTTGATAATTACGTAGAATCACATACTTCGTCCCCTACTCAGGTGGTAGTATCGACACGGTCAGCGTTTTCAGCTCTCAGGAGTCCGCTACAGGTGCCTTAAGCCTCCTGTAGTAGTGCGTGTACGTAAGTATAAGCGCGAACGTTGCTCTCCAGTGCTCTACGACACTCCGAATCGTCACCTCCCAGGGTACCGTAATGGATTCACATAGATCAAACAATTACTTCTCACATACTTAAAGCATTATCTCTAACCTCCTCATTTTGATCGACATTTTTCTAAAAACAAATGAACACATGTCATCATGGAATTTTCGACAGGCAGTCCATGAAAGCAATTCACGCAAAGAAATTGGTCAGAGCAAGATAGAAATTTACACATGCAAAAAGGGTCAATTTCCAATCCTGTGCTACCTACGAAAGGAGGGACGTGAATATCATGAATATCATACATACTTCGACGAAAGTCCGAAAAACAATACGAGGTATACCAAGTCAATCGATCACTTAGCTATTCCTTACTTGCCACCATCCAGTCTCTTATCACTAATACCTACTCTATACCATTTGCGAACGGGATTTCTCTCCTTCAATAGCAACCTCCTCTCTAATCTCATTCTCCACAATGCTTCCTAGTTTCCAGCACATGATTATTACTTCTCACTTACTCCGTGTTTGCCCCCTTCAGACGTTGACTCAAGACATAGTGATGGATTCCCCATATCCGATCAGGCTGATCAGCATGTATCTTACTAGATCCAAGCGTCAAACATGTTCCACTCCCTTATACCCTTGCTAAGCTCCCTTCACATAGATCGTTGCATATAACTCTCCTATTCATGCCACTAAACTTTCCTAAGCCATGTCATCACTCGCTCAACTTCACACATATGCATGGACTCAATGCTCCCCCATACACTTCCATGTCCTCGACTGAAGCCCCTCTACACTTGGTCCAGTAGCTCACCGAAATGAGGCCTCGCATGCACACACAGTAAAGCGAATAAGGAGAAGAATAAACCAGTTAACATCGAACAGCCCATACGGTCAAAGTTAATAGTTAAATAACAAATTAACGAGACAATCGTTAGATGTTCCTCGTAAGCCTGATTCCTGCCATTTCACCCAACCCGGGTAGGCTGGAATGATCATCAAGATGTTTAGCTGGGGATTGTGGCAATTCCCTAAAATGTGTTTTTCGTCAACCAACCACCAGTTGACTCATCAGAGGGTAAACAACATGCAGAGCACAAACATCTGATTCAATTAGCTTTCGGGGAACAAGGGTAAGTCATTCATCAAACAGTAGTGAGGATTATATATCCGCTAGCTTTCTTGCGAATGAGGTTATTACCTGCGTTGGCGCCTCGATCCTGTACTGGCAACATCTCGTCCAAGGTCATAGGCCCATCCATCACGGTCGTCTCCGGTAACTCCGAAACTCGATCTCTCTGTGAAAGATCAGGTTGCGTCGTATCGACGTTCCCGTGACCTTTCGTTGATCCCGACTCTCGGAAACTACGAAAGTTTCACTTCCACTTTGAGGTGAAAAACCGAGACGCGGCGCGTAGACGTTCCTCTGTTCTTCTCCTGATAACAGAAATGATTAAAGAGGGCCTTCCTACTGTTCCTCCATTTATTTAGTCAACTTGTTTTGTCGTTTTTTCATTCCCCCGCCAACTGCTTTCTTTTCTTCCGGTCCTTCCAGACCTTCTCTTTTTTCCGACTTACCTGATTCCTTTGGAAGCAATCCCTTAATCTGATTAAACCCTGTCCGATTTTATCCTTTTCCCCGAAAGGCCTATTTTTTCAAGTGAGCCCTACTGGGGTTACGAGGGGCTATGCCTCTTTTTCCGTGGGGTCGACAAATCCCTCTTTTTCCAACCAAGCATTGCCTCCCTTTCAAAAAAAGCCGGTGGGCTCAGTCAACTGATTGTATGTGTGTGTGTGTGTGCTTGTGCGTGCATGTGTGCGTGTGTGTGTGTGTGTGTGTGTGTGTGAATGTGTGTGTGTGTGTGTGTGCGCGCGCATGTGTGTGTGTGTGTGTGTGTGAGGAAGAGAGAGAGTTCTCCATCGACAGGGAGAGAGAGAGAGAGAGAGAGAGAGAGAGAGAGAGAGAGAGAGAGAGAGAGA